AATTAAACTTTTTTAGTCTTAAAGGTCCCACTGGACTCAAACTTTGTTCTGTTGCTTCAGACAAAAAATGACCACCAATGCTCCCTCTAAGCTGTGGAGTCCTGTGAGCAAAAATTGTACTTTGTGAGCTACTGGCATTAAAGTTGTGAGCGAGTGATTTGGCTACTGCATAAATTAGTTGAGCCATCCTTCCTGAGCTGAGACAAAAATGTGTGAGCCAGAGACTAAAAAACTGTGAGCTAGCTCACACCAACTCAGCTTAGAGGGAACACTCTGAATCTGTCCCCCAGTATTAGAGAGATCCCACTGAGGATCTGTAGGAAAATTCTGACACTTCAAGCACTGAAACTGAAATTTGACCTTGAATTTTGACAAAAGAGATCCCAGCCTTGAAAACATCAAACAGACTTGGGGGCTTCAAGCTCTGCCTGAAGCGTGCATAATTTGAATAGAATTTCAGTTCTCCTTTCAATGTGCGTAATTGCAAAATTTTCTTCTCCTCTGTTTTCCGGGTTCTGGCCTCTCATTACTGGCAAAGCAACTTGAATAAAGCATACTGGAAATGATCAGTAACTGACCTATAGATCTGTTGCTTGTTTGTGTTTGTTTTTTTAAGTATTTGGTTAGAGAAGTTAATACTGTGTCGTGTCTAAATGGAAGTGTGACACAATAAGGCAATCATCTCACCCTCTTGCATGTGCTCAATATACATTATCAGAAACATTATAATTTGATTATTCATCTGTAGTTGCATTTATGCATCATGTAGTCAAAACTAAGTTCTGAATCAGCAGAAAATTTGATTTGACTGCCCTAGGCTTCCCCTTGCAGTAAATCAGACATTTAAAAGGCAGAATTTGTATTTGTATTGAGCAGACATCTGGGAAATCTACTGCTTTTATCAATCCTGCACTGATAGCAAGTACAGATGTGGCTATTTTTGACGGCCCAATTTCATTGTTTCCATCCTAGTAGCAACAGGTAGGTGATAACTGGTCATCGTTTCTGGTCCAGTACTCCCCAATGGTGCTACACCCCAAACTCTGGCTCTCTAAAATGCCTAGTTAAAAAATTTTAGACTGATTATTAGTGAGATGGTAAATTTACATGTGGCTTGTAACACTTCAGAATGCAGGCCAAGTAATATTTTACTTGGATTAATTAGTCCATTGTTGATTCTCTGGTGTGATAGTACTTTAACACCACGCTAAAGAATCTCTACACTCACAAGAATTGCACCGAATCCCTGACTAACAGAATTCCTGAATCATGGAACTTCACACACCCAGGGACTTTAGATCAAGATGGGTAGCCAAGTTAGTCTGTCTGTAGCAGTGCTACTGAGGAGCTGCGATGGCTCAGTGGTTAAGACGCTGAACTGCAGACTGGAAGGTCAGTAGTTCAGCAGTTCGAGACCCGAGTGCCGCATGACAGAGTGAGCATTATTCAAATACTGGCAAATTATGAGATTTCCTTTTTTTACCTCCTTTTTGGTACCAGCCATAGGGGTGGATCCTGGCTTCTGTTTCCAGAGATGCACAGTCTGAAACACGCCAGTCATTTCTCAGTTCTTCACTGCATGTTTGGATTCCCAAACTATTCAGAATCAAGCACAAGACTTTGCCATCTGCAGAGAGACAGACACATCTAGGGTAGTCATTTTATAAGTGTTCCTAGAGGTTCCTAAAACTGTAATCCTCTAGGGTAAAACTTGCCTTCCCTTTCATCATTGGTAAAGTATCTAGATCCTGTTGGTGTTCCATGAGACACAGCAGAAAAACATAAAACTGTAAAATAGTTAATGATATTCTAATTTGCAGAGAAGAACCTATTCACTGCCCTAGATATGTTCTCTGATAAAATTTGGCACAGCAGTGAAACTTTGGGTTCTAACTAAAGTTAAGCCAGACTATCCTTTATTCACCTGGCTTAAAAAACAACCACTAAAGAAGAAGAAAAGAAGAGATTGGATTTATGCCGCGCCCTTCACTCGGAGTCTTAGAGTGGCTTACAAACTCCTTTCCCTTCCCCTCCCCACAACAGACACCCTGTGAGGTAGGTGGGGCTGAGAGAACTCT